AAAATTGTTCGTGAGCAGGATTGAAGCTACAGTTTTCATCCGATTCTGATGAAACTTGGTGTGATCATTGGAATTGATAAGATCTCGGACAAGTTCTAACTTGACGCATTTTCGATGAACGGTTTTTGAGTTATTGCCCTTGACTTTGTTAAAACGCGTCAAAATTTGTTAAAAATAGTTCGTGAGCAGGATTGAAGCTACAGTTTTCAACCGATTCTGATGAAACTTGGTGTGATCATTGGAATAGATAAGATCTCGGATAAGTTCTAACTTGACGCATTTTCGATGAACGGTTTTTGAGTTATTGCCCTTGACTTTGTTAAAACGCGTCAAAATTTGTTAAAAATAGTTCGTGAGCAGGATTGAAGCTACAGTTTTCAACCGATTCTGATGAAACTTGGTGTGATCATTGGAATTGATAAGATCTCGGACAAGTTCTAACTTGACGCATTTTAGATGAACTGTTTTTGAGTTATTGCCCTTGACTTTGTTAAAACGCGTTGAAATTTGTTAAAAATAGTTCGTGAGCAGGATTGAAGCTACAGCTTTCAACCGATTCTGATGAAACTTGGTGTAATCATTGGAATTGATAAGATTTCGGACAAGTTCTAACTTGACGCATTTTCGATGAATCGTTTTTGAGTTATTGCCCTTGACTTTGTTAAAACGCGTCAAAATTTGTTAAAAATAGTTTGTGAGCAGGATTGAAGCTACAGTTTTCAACCGATTCTGATGAAACTTGGTGTGATCATTGGAATTGATAAGATCTCGGACAAGTTCTAACTTGACGTATTTTAGATGAACTGTTTTTGAGTTATTGCCCTTGACTTTGTTAAAATGCGTTGAAATTTGTTAAAAATAGTTTGTGAGCAGGATTGAAGCTACAGTTTTCAACCGATTCTGATGAAACTTGGTGTGATCATTGGAATTGATAAGATCTCGAACAAGTTCTAACTTGACGCATTTTTGATAAACGATTTTTGAGTTATTGCCCTTGACTTTGTTAAAATGTGTTGAAATTTGTTAAAAATAGTTCGTGAGCAGGATTGAAGCTACAGTTTTCAACCGATTCTGATGAAACTTGGTGTGATCATTGGAATTGATAAAATCTAGGACAAGTTCTAACTAGACGCATTTTCGATGAACGGTTTTTGAGTTATTGCCCTTGACTTTGTTAAAACGCGTTGAAATTTGTTAAAAATAGTTTGTGAGCAGGATTGAAGCTACAATTTTCAACCGATTTTGATGAAACTTGGTGTGATCATTGGAATTGATAAGATCTCGGACAAGTTCTAACTAGATGCATTTTTGATGAACGGTTTTTGAGTTATTTCCCTTGACTTTGTTAAAATGTGTTGAAATTTGTTAAAAATAGTTTGTGAGCAGGATTGACGCTACAGTTTTCAACCGATTCTGATGAAACTTGGTGTGATCATTGGAATTGATAAGATCTCGCACAAGTTCTAATTTGACACATTTTCAATGAACGGTTTTTGAGTTATTGCCCTTGACTTTGTAAAAACGCGTCAAAATTTGTTCGTGAGCACAATAGAAGCTACAGTTTTCAACCGATTCTGATGAAACTTGGTGTGATCATTGAAATTGATAAGATCTCAGACAAGTTCTAACTTGACGCATTTTCGATGAAATGTTTTTGAGTTAATGCCATTAACTTACGAAAAACGCGTCAAAATTTGTTTGTGAGCACAATAGAAGATACAGTTTTCAACCGATTCGGATGAAACTTGGTATGATCATTGGAATTGATAAGATCTCAGACAAGTTCTAACAAGAGATATTTTTGATGAACATTTTTTGAGTTATTGCCCTTGACTTTGTAAACACGCGTCAAAAGTTGTTTTTTGCCCTTGATTAGAGCTGTGTGATTTAATTGTTTGTTGTATTTGGGTTATTGATATTGATTTTAAAAAATTTTGTGGAATTATTCAGCATAAATAATTTCTTCAATATGAGAAAATTTGTACTTTAGTCACTAAAGACTGTTTTATTATTTCTGACAGCTGCCAGTGGGCGTATGTTACATTGCAACGCAAGCTATCTTTATTACAGCTGAGAACAGAAAATGCCTTAGAGAATTAGAAGCCATCAGTAAATTGATAAATTTCTTAGCCCACCCTGACTGGCATGATTTACATGTTATGTCTGTCATGGTAATATCTAGTTTATTAGAGGACAAAGAGAGTTTAGAGGTAAGTTTTGAGTTCTCACTCTGATAAGTGGAAATGGCAGAAAAAATTATATAGCCTGACATCTAGTCACCTTGACCACTTACTGTCAATTAGATAATTGCTGATTTTATTAATAATCCAGATCAAATCACATTTAAAACAAAAGATCACTGATATCAATTCTGCTGATTAATTATCACCAAGATAAAACTCATTGCCTTTCTTGTATCCAATTTATATCCAGTAACTAAAATACTTACCTATTTTTCATATATCAAAGCTGAATGTTACACACCTACATTTACTTTTACAGCAAATAAAAGAAACTGGAGGACTAAAGAAGTTAGTTGCTATAATAACAGATCAACCTCCACCAGAGGAAGAGGTTGCTAAGAAACCAGATAAAAAAGCTGGTGGAAAAGGAGGAAAGAAAAGTGCTAAAGAATGTAAGTACCTGAGTAATTTTTTTTAATGAATTGTATTAGCTATTAAGCAAGACAGAACCATGTTGGTTTTTATGTTGTTGCTAAGTCAGTGTCCATAATATGTTCTAACCTAATATTTGTTACTGAAATGGGTTTTTAACTGTTAAAATATATCAGGGTATTTCAGCTTTGATATACTTATATTTTAAGCCATGCATAAAAAGGGTACAACAAGCTCTCTTGGATTTCTAAGAGAAGAGTCTGTTGATAGGGAAGAGGAGGAAGATGAAGAATGTTGGTAAATTATCATCAAATGTTTGGCATGGATATCAGAGTTTCATAGCATGTATATCAACATTTTATAACAAGGATATCAAATCCTAACGTAGTATTGGATTGGACTACCTTTCATATTACTATCACTTCCACTTGGATTGAAATGAATCTTCATAGCATCTAGATCAAACTCATATATCTATATATATAGGTTAAAAATCAAAATTTAGAGCATGAAAATAGCACCTTATTATATAAAGATGTCCTATTCACATAACATAGAAATCACATTGTAATGAGATATACATATACATATAGTTTGCACTTCACTCTCATATGGCATGAATATTATTTCAGCAAAGTCCCAGTTTGTTATCGAAATGTCTATTCTTTTTTTTTCTTTTCGAAATTTACACACCTTCCTGTGCTTAGACTGCAATAGTTGCAGCAACCATTCAACTTTCCTAGACCTTCTGTAGTGGCAACGTGTTCCTTAAATATAAATGGGAACATTTTTGCAAAACCGGAAATGCTACAGTCCAATATGTGCAAAAAGTAGAAAATCGGACCTAAAAGTCGCATTTTCCGGTCGATTTTCTTCAGGTTTTTATTTCTGGAATCTACGTGTAATTTCTGATATAATAGCACTTCAACAAATTCAAAAATTTGTCGCACACTTTTTTCGGCCGAATTTTGCAATTTTTTAACAAAAAAAAAAATTTTTAGCTTTTTGCCTGATTAATCTAAAAATATTTGAGCAAAGACAATTCATGAACGTGAACAAAATTGTATAGTCAAATTTTTTTCTTTACTTCCGGTTTAAACGGGAAATCGATTCTCACTTCCATTTGAACTACTTCGGTGTAATTTATTTACCGCGACGAAACTTATATGAATCGATAGCCAAAGTTATGACAAAAAAACGAAGAATATAAAATCCGGTCCGAAGGTAATACTTTGGTCGCCGTTTTGATTTTTCTGAAATGCATCAGAATCTATTCAGAGAAAACGGCTTATCCGATTTTGATAATTTTGGTGTCAAATGAAAGAAAATAAAAATTAAAAAAAACTGTGGGAGCCGATTTTTGAATTTCGCTTTTGCTTTTTTGCAATTTCCGATTGAATTTTTTCGAAGTTTGAAGGCTCATATATCATGACCTAGACCTTTGATGACCTTGAACTTCATTGGGTCAAAGGTCATTGACTTTCATATTCGACCTCCAACATCTACTTCCGTTTTTATGGATGTCTAAAAACAGCCAAATTCGCAAATTTGGACTGCTCTAGCACATGACCTAATTATCCTAAAGGGTTAATTTTTTCGGATTCTTAATGTGCTCTTCATACTCTTTCTAACGATATATCACAAAAGTTTTTAAAATCAAAATTGAAATTCGTACTTTTTTGATATTTGAGTGTTTTTTACAATATTTTTGTCTCTTTGAGCTAAGTGTATGTATATCTTTTGACCTATTTGATGTAGAAGTTTGAAATTTAGAACACTACTAGACATTTTGAAAATGAATTAAATCATGACAAAAAAGTTCTAGTGGGCGTTGCACATCCGGGTTAAATTGCTAGTTGTTCAAATCTGGGGCAGGGGCATAACTTGCATAGTCTACATTTGTTCAATAAGGGACTTCGCACACAAATACCTCATCTCTTTGGCCAGATTGTGTTTAAAAGACAGTTGTTTCAGATTTATAGTTCAAAAAAAGGAACGGGTTTTAGAATTTCCATATTTTCATTTTTTGACATTGACCTTTGATGACCTTAACGTTTGTAGGGTCAATGGTCATTAACCTTCGTTATCTATTTATACTTTCATATTTGATGTTGGACGTTAGCTTCCCGGTTTTGTAGTTGTATGCATTGTGAAAGTTTGATCAGTGATATCTCGTGACCTTGACCTTTGATGACCTTGACCTTTATAGGGTCAAAGGTCATTGACCTTGGCTATCATTTGATAATTTGACATTTGACCTCCGACATGTACTTCCGGTTTTATAGCTGTCCGAAAAAAAACAACTTTGGACTGCTGTACCACTTGACATAATTAACCTACAGTATTAATTTCTTCTGTTTCCTAATGTGCTTCTCATGCACCATACATTGATATATAACAATCATTTTTTTTACTGCAAAATTGAAATTCGTCATTTTTTTCAAATTTAAGTTTTTGTTTTTTTACAATATTTGTGTCTCTTTGAACTTGGTGTATGTATATCTTATGACCTATATGATGTAGAACCTTCAAATTTGGAATACATCTAGACACTTTGAATATGAATTCACCTATGACAAAAAAATTGATGTGGGCGTGGCACATCCGGGTTGAATTACTAAATGTTTACATTTTTGGGAAGGGGCATAACTTGCATAGAATACACACAATTACCTCATCTGTTTGGCCAGTTTGTGTTAATTAAATAGGTCAGTTGTTTCAGCTTTATAGTACCAAAAAAGGAACGGGTTTTAACATTTGGATATTTTCAATTTTCGATTTTGACCTTTGTTGACATTTGTTGACCTGTATCTTTTGACCTGTATTATGTATAACCTTGGCATTTGATACACGACATATTAATGAACTTATATCAAATAAATGAGGTGGGCGTGGCACATCCGGGTTAAATTACTCATTATTGACATTTTTGGCCAAGGGCATAACTCGAAAAGTATACAATTGTTCAAAATGGAACTTTGCATACAATTACCTGAGCCACTTTGTCTTAGAAGTTCGGTTGTTTCCACTTCATAGTTCAAAAAAGGGAACAGGTTTTGGAAATTCAAAATTTTCAATTTTTGACCTTGACCTTTGTTGACCTTGACTTTTGTAGGATCAAACGTCATTGGCATTGGCTATCTATTTATACTTTAATATTTGCCGTCCTATGTCAACTTCCGGTTTTATAGCCGTATGCAATTTGAAAATTTGATGACTTAATATCTCGTGATCTTGCTCTTTTTAGACCTTCTCCTTTACAAGATCAAAGGTCACTGACCTTGGCTATCTGCTGATACTTTTATTTGTGAGGTCTGACGTCTACTTCCGGTATTAGAATCTTCTAAAAAAAATAAAAATTTCTCAACTTTAGACTGTTCTTGCGCTTGACCTAATTATCGTCGACGGTTGATTTTTTTTAGGGTCTTTAGCAAATTGCTACATTTGCAAAGTCCCACTATTTGCAACGTGTGGCTCTAGTATTTGTTTAGTTTTGATTCAGATAACATATTTATAAAACAGATAACAGATATATCCCATACTTTCATATAATACTGTAGTTGAATATTGTCACCACCCCTCTCATGAATTTTTTATGAACCGTTTTTGAGTTATTGCTTTTAGCCAAAATATGTCCTTATAGGCTCATAAAGGAGATATAGGATATACTTTGACTGTAATGGCTGAAATCTTGGCATCTGTATGAAATGTACAGTATTCATTTTGATGATAAATCTACCAACCATGATGTCAGTGGAAATGAAAGGTATATTTAAGTCATCTTTTAGAAAAATTTCAATTTTCAATTAGTTTGATGAGTTTCATCATAATGTTAATCTTTTTAGCCGCTAAGAAACAAACAGAAGAGAAAGATGAACATAGAGATGAAAATATTATACCAACATTACCAGACGTCAAAATGTCTGCTGCAAGAGCTATTGCTCGATCTGCTAGAAATAGTAAGTTTTAATTGAAATTCTTCTGTCAAGTAGGCAATATTTCAATAATTAAGCTTATTATTATGTCCTGTAAATATTTTCAAGTATTTTATGGAGTTTGCTTTGAAAAGATATAATATCAATAGGTAACTGAAGACTTATGCTGTTATAAATTGATTAGATTCTGGATGATATGTTTATATTCACATTTATGAGATGACAGTTTTGATTTGATGTTGGAGGCACAGTGCTCAGAGAGTTAGATGATTGCTAACAAACCATAATGTTCATACTCACAGTTTGAGATAATATCTTCAGATTTTTTTCAAACTGATTTCCCCTGTCAGTGATGCAGGTTGATGGGGCTGAAAGAGTGTCTAGTTTAGATGGGAGAATAAACTGGGGCCATGTTTTCTACAGGCTGTGCATGTTAAATGCTGCCCAATTAGTAGACCTGTCTTTATTCCAGCCTCTTATAGCTATTTGGACAGATATCAGCTGTTGTAGATGCAGAAAAAATAGGTGCTATTACATGGGGACATACTGCATTTCCGCAGGTTTTAAACCTGTTTAGATACCTCGGATCTGCAAAACCCAGATATATTTGGAAACATGGATATTTTTGTAGTTTAGTTATACCATCATCTATATCACGTTCTCCGTTCTTTTTTAACGAAACTGATCTAGCATCAGCTGTTTAAAAAATGTAATAGTAACAAAACAAAAGTTAGGGTGATGCCCAACACTAATTTAGAAATCCTGAAAGGTAATATAATATTATGTTAGAAAAACGTATCTTGTGGAAAATTCCCATTTAACAGGGTCTTTTATTTCTGACTCTATTCCAGCTGACAAATGTAGAAATATCCATCGGAGGCTGGAATAGAGGAAGATGTTTTGGACTTCCCAATTAGGTGCAGAAGAATTGGACTTTAATTCCATTCATTTTATATGTCTTTCAATTTTAGGTGAAAATCGTAAGATGTTACATGAACAGGAAGCTGAGAAGATGTTGATATTATTATTATCACATGAAAACGTTGATGTCCAGTCAGCAGCAGCACAAGCCCTGGGTATTATGTGTGAAAATCTCAGCAGTAGGGATTCAGTTAGAGAAATGGGTAAGAAATAGGAGACATTTTTGAATTTCATTATTTTCTTGCACATGTATGGATTGTGAAGGTTTTTCATTGGAATTTACCTAAATGATAGTTATAAATTATAGTTTTGGTTTTGTACAATTATTGGATTAACTCTAGATTAATATTTACAGATGGTATAGCTCCTTTAATCAAGTTATTAAACAGTGAAAATGGTGATGTGAAGGAAGCCTCTTCTTTAGCTTTAGCCAATCTTACTACTTCTAATACTCCCAATGCAAAGTAAGTCTTTGGTATAACACATTGTAAACTTACTTGACTAAGCTTATAGTATTAAATTCATGGAATAAAAATCCACCCAATATGGAAGATATCCTTAAATAAACTAATTATTTTTATTGTCAACATATATAGTTATTTCACCATTAATATCTGTTATTGATTATTTCACCATTAATATCTGTTATTGATTATTTCACCATTTATATCTGTTATTGATTATTTCACCATTGATATCTGTTATTGATTATATCACCATTAATACTTGTCATTGATTATTTCACCATTAATTCCTGTTATTGATTATTTCACCATTAATATCTGTCATTGATTATTTCACCATTAATATCTGTCATTGATTATTTCATGATTAGTATCTGCTATTGATTATTTCACCATTATTATCTGTTATTGATTGTTTCACCATTAATATCTGTTATTGATTATTTCACTTTTAATATCAGTTATTGATTATTTCACCATTATTATCTGTTATTGACTATTTCACCATTAATACTTGTCATTGATTATTTCACCATTAATACCTGTTATTAATTATTTCACCATTGATACCTGTTATTGATTTCTGTATTGAATTTTTTCTTGCCAGAGAGGTGATGAATTTAGGAGGAATAGAACCAATAATTCATCTACTATCTGATCAAAGGGAGGAAGCTGTTTCCAATGCAGCCTGTGTTTTGACTAATCTTGCTCAAGATGAACAACTGCGTTCTGATATTATTACTAAAGGTGCCGTCACTGCTTTAATAGAGCCTTTAAAATCTGGGTAAGTTTCTAAAACAAAATCATACCTTTGTTGAATAAAAATATTGTTATGCGCAGAGAAATAAAATCTGGAGATTTCTCTTCTTGAACAAGCTGACACTCTGGGGACATCTGACGAAGAAACGTTTAAATTGTGTTGACACACTTTTTAAAATAATTTTATTAAAGAAGTGAGCTTATTCCATAATATTGTCTTGTATTCTTAAAGTTTTAAAGTGTGATTAAAAGGTTCAAGAGAACAAGAAATTGTTGTAATTATCTGTAATTATATCTCCAGTCTGTGTTTATTTTAGTAATACTATTGTACAAAGTAAAACAGCTCTAGCCTGTGCAGCTTATTTGTGTGATATGGAAGCCAGAAATGAGGTAGGCCTTCATATAGATATCTGTTGTTAAATTAGAACTTGTTTTATGGTTTCAATTAAATAAGAACTTTTCATGAATATTTAACTAAGATTAAAAAATTGAATTTGAGGACCATCAATTAGCCTTTGATTCAATTTTGAATGAACATGGTAACTCTGTTATAAAATGATAAGATTTTGGTTGAGATAAATTTTTACCATTTTGAGATAGTTTGGTAATGCAATAATTTTAGTTTTGATTAGATTTGGATGAAAATTGCGATTTCTTGGTTGAGTTTTGTTTCAAGGAGCTACATAAGACTTAACAAACATATTCAAATATAGTTTGTGAATGAGATAGAAATTTAACATTTAATTTACTTTTGATGAAATGTGGTATTGAAAAAAAAAAGAAGTTACATCATGAAAACTGTAATATAAAACCAATGAACTAAAACTTGATTCTAAAGAATCCTTGCATGATTTGATATGATTTTAGATTATGTGATTTTGATAGTGATTGTACAGCCTCACTACTATTCACTGTGTCTTTTGTTATTTTAGTTTAGAACAGCAGGTGGTCTAGAACCTCTGGTTGAATACTTAAAATCTGGTAATGATGATGTTAGAAGAAGTGTATCATGGGCTATTACTGTCTGTGGTGTAGATTATGCGTCTGCTGTAGAAATCTGTAAATTAGGGTATGGAAACCATTTTATATCAGGCTAGAATTATACAAAGCCCCAAACACTACATGTGTCAGTTGATGGCATTGAGAACCGAAGTTTGTGTACTCACAATCCACATCATGTGTTTGTGGCAGTGTACATCTGATGCTCAAATCACTAGGTCCTTTCTGATCCATACCCTCTTCTTAAAACCAAACGAGATTCATGGGGAGATTTTCTGAAAAATTTATTTGGCCTCTCAACAAATTGAACTACGACCACAACATGGATGCACTAAAACTTGAAAGTAGTCTGGTGAGATATTTAACATAATTGTAAGAAGTATGAATTTTAATAAATTATTCAGTGGAGCCTTTTTTTTTCAGGGGTTTGGGTATATTGCAAGAAATTCAGTTATCAGGTACCAGAAGAACACCATTTACTGATGCGGCTTTAGATAGGTTATTAGATAGTAATTTATCTGCTAAATATGCTTTATCTGGTGTTTTAGGTAAGTTGTACATACTAATATGATTCTTTGTATGGAAAAAAACAAAATATGAAGTTAGAAATAATGTAAATGGTAAATGATGTACTAATTGGAATATTATGGAGGAAAGACTAAAATTTACCTCCTTACCTAAAATGGTCTTTAAAACAGTATATCATTTTGCAGAGGGCGATTTTTTATTTGAAAATTTTTCCGAAAGAGAAATTTGTAAATGTAAATATACTACATGTACAATTCTATCAATGATGTCATTCTAAGAATTGTCATTACTAAGTAACCTTCAAAGCTTGATTTACTGAGCTCGTAAAGAAGAAAGAAAGTAGGGTCTATTTGAAATAGAATATTAGTTTCCTGTATAGTATTATATCTGAGCTGTTGGTATGGGTGGAAACAATGAGTCTATCTTCCTGTAAAATAGGTTATAGTAATTTGATAGAAGATGGGTTTTATGATCCTGGTCAGATGAAGAAAGGAAGTAAATTTTTATCATTAGAAGATTTTTGTAATCAAGAATTAAACGATAAAAGACCAATTTTACTGATAAATCCTAAACCTGAGTAAGTAAAAAATTTATAGATTTGAATGTTGTCATATTGACAGTGTCAAAGATCAAGAATGGTGACTTAGACCATCTATAACAGCAATATTGTGGGTGACCTCTTGTAACCATATTTGATCATTTTGACTTTTTGGTACCGTTCGTAAGCTCGTAAAAGTGCGGATCTTGTGATCAAAACCTTGTATTCTTAGCTTGATTAATAACTCAAAAATCACTACGTATAAAAACGATCAGATTTAAAACCTGGTAGAATATTATATTTTATAAATTGTAATTTAGCTCGTGCTCACTCCTCACTCTACAGGCTTCATTATGAAGATGATCCCTATCGATTTTGTGAAGATCTGATAATTTTTCACCAAAATGTTGTTTCCAAATTAGTATATTCACTCCATTAGCTATATAGTGCAACTTTTGCTCACTCTTCAAGCAACAATTCTTTATGGATTCTTTTGATTTTTATATACTCATACATAGTACAGAAGCATATTGTCATCACTCAATATACAGGCTACAAACAATGATTTGTACTTGAAATTAAAGCTGCTGATGGGCGAATGTCATCTTACTTCTCAAGGCTATCTTTTATAGAGATTTCTCTTGATTGTGAAAAAAAGCAATACGAATTGTTGAGATGACTCATTTACAAAAAAAAAATATGACACCATTAATATATATGTATGATGTTTACATGTGGGTACAGTTCAAAAGATGAACATTAATTCTTGCTTCCAGTTTGGTCATGCAATAATAGGCTTAATAGCTACATAACTGAGAAAAAAATATGTGCCAAAGGTATTGTTCTTGGGTTAAAAACAGAGATTAACTATATGAAACAGCCATTAAGTCATCAGATTTTTTCAAATGATCACTTTTGTTTGACCAGACTTTCTATCAGATGTTTGTACCAGATTGCAGTTGTATACAAAATAAGTATCAAAGTATAATTAAATATTTTCCAGAATTGCTTCAACTGAGTCAAAGTCAGAAGATTTAAAACCAGAAAGTTCTAAAACCAGTTTATCTGGTAAATCTTCACGTACTGGTAGAGAATCCAAGTCGTAAGTAACTCTTTGATATAGTAAAAACCGGTAAAATTGACAAGAATAGGATACATGGCAATAAAATACAGACCTGTCTGTAGTTATAACAAATACTCTCTCCTCAAATCCTTAATCAAGTATTGTCTTTTGTCTTTTCAATTTAAGTGAGGCACTTACTCAATAATAGATGAAAGCTTTCAAAATTTAACAATAAAGATATATCCATCATGACTGAACTATATATACATATATATTATAATATATTTTCAGAAAAACCAAAGCTCAAAAAGAGAAAGAGGAGAAACAAAAAGAAGAACTTCAAGCACAACTCCAAAGAGAAGCAGATGCAATGGCTGCTACTGAAAGCCATGATTTTATTATGCCCTGTGATCCTGGGTTATTATCTTACATTGATGAAGTCATGGAGAAAATACAACCATTACCAACTTCTAGAGAACAAGTAATTCATTTAGCACAGTAAGTACAAATAGAAACTGTTTTTATATAATTATTTTTGAAATGTGTTCTTATTTCATAATATTAACTGTGAAAAAGAGTAAAATTTTGATTGTTTTTTAACCTCAAAACCAATTGTATTTCTTATTAATTAATTTTGATACCAGACAGAAGCATGAAGTTCCCAAACACTTGGACTGTCTTTCCAAAAAATAGAGCTCAAACAAATGGCAAATGGTAAATGATTGTCTGTAATGAATCTTACGTATTATATTTATCCCCTTTTAGACTAGTAGCTGATAAAATGGGTGGACCAATCGACAGAGGACAAGTTTCAAGTTTCAGTTGGGAATTACCTTTAAGCCAGATAAAATATGAACTGAAATCTAATGTGGTACCAATTGGACGTTTGAAAGCTGGAATACATGTTCATAGAGCTCTTTTATTCAAGGTGAATATGGATTTGGTTCAGAAACTATATTATGTTATTTTGGCCTTTTTATTAGAGGAAAACAATTTGTCAACGTTTATCAGTAAATAGATCTTACCAAATTACATCAAAATCAACTTGTGATTATAGTTCTGATCAGTTTTATCGAAACTTGACATGTTTATATATATATTGATGATATATATCAGATGAGTTTTTGAGATATTGCCTCTGACTTACTGATTTAAAAAATGCGATCTGTTCAAATTAGTATGCTGATTTATATTGATATTTTTTTTGAGTTATTGGTCTTGACTAAATATTATCACAAAATTGTCAAGGCAATTGTTATTGGTATGTTTAAATAGATTGATTTTTTGGAAGATAAGAGCTACCCTGAATTTTGCAACCGTTGGAGTCTCAAATTCACACTCTTAAAAAATAATATTTTTGGCTGATAAAGAGAACTGTGATGGTAGCCTAATAGCATTAACATAATAAATTATAAAGCATGGATTGAATTTGTTGGTAGTTGTTTAAATTTAGTATTGCTAATTTATTCAAACTATGGAGTGCTCCGAGGTTCTCCTGAATACCTAGGACCTATTATTGATAAAAGAATATTGTTTTGTAGGCCTTAGCAGACCGTATTGCTGTCAGTTGTACATTAGTTAGAGGACAATATAATAGAGCTTGGAATGAAGTTATGTTATATGATGAACATGATAATGTAAGTAAAATTAAAATATCATTGAAAGCATATTCAAAGGAAAAACAAGATCCTCATTAACCAAAGATTTTATTCTTGTAAAAAAATGGTTCTTTCTTTTTCATTTTCTTATAAGAAAAGGACTTAAAAGATTTAAAGGACCTATACTGCCAATAATGTAACATCTGGACCAGATCTTAACCAGGCTATCTGGTCACTTTGCTTATGGTGCAGGCACACAAACAGTCTTGGTTGGCAATTTTTGTCCCAGACTACTAGTCTTGTCAAGAGACAAATATTTTGTTTGATATTTTAAATCCTGTCCGGAACACAATAATTTTGTCATGAAATCATGAACACACATGAGATTTTACTCAAGATTCAAAATCATTCGTGTGCTGCACCTTTTAATGTTCTTACATTAATATTATGATCTGATCTTCGAAGTGTCTATTGCTTGCAAAAATATGATTAAAGGCATTAAAGCAATTTTTTTTTACAGCCAGCTGCACCAAAATTCCCACCAAAAGAATATATTGTAGACTTAATTCACCAGCCAGGAAATTTGATACCAAAAGATTCCACAGATGCAGTTTCCTATCAAAAGATATAAATCTTAGATACATCTCAAAATACATTTAACCTGCTTTAAATTATTATTTTATCAATCATAATTAGACAAACTTTCGAGGTGGTGTGCTAAAGGTTACAATATAAAAACACTGTACTGGAGAAATTTATATCATTTTCAAATATGTCACATAGTCAAATGGTTTGTCTAATACAAATCTTAGTTGAAAAAAAAGATCGATACCATCATTTATATACAGTATAATTAACACTTCAACCTCAAAAGATCTACAATAAATTAACGCAGTGGATATTTAGCTGTAAACTGGTTTAGTTTCTTTTTCACTATTTTACCCGCACTTCCGTTTACCCATGTGCAGTGGAGAAAAATGAAAAAATGTGGTAATATTATCCGTCGATGAGGCCATAAAGCGCCAAATGAGACCATAAAGCAAAACCTAAAACTAACCCTAAAGAGGTTACGCCTACATTCCTGTGCCTGTGCTTTCGTAACATTGCTTAACCGCAATGTTACAACCTAAAATTCCTAAAGAAAACCCTGAAGGCAGCTGGACCTTGTTCAACATATTTCTACATATGGACATCCCTACCTAACCCTAAATAAGACACTAAATCGCATATTTGACACAAGATGGTTTGTTTTGATCTTTATTTTCCTGTTGCGCATGGGTAAACGGAAGTGCCGCTTAAATAGCGAAAAAGAAACTAAACCGGTTCACGGCTAAATATCCACTTTGATAAATTAAAGTAGGAAACTTTTTTATGGCCTGGTTATTTAGTTGTGATATTTTGTAGATTTTGTCAAAAACCCTACAGCATTATTTATTTAAATTGTGACTTGTCTATTTATGTTATTTATACTGAAACCAATAAAATCTTTTAACCATAATATTGTTTTGTCATAAATGCTCAGCAAAATGTATCTTAGACTTTTTCACATTTCCATATATAATTTGAGCATAAAACAGCTATAAAACCTTTTTTCTTGAAATTGGTTTTGACCAAACCTTTGCCATTATTTAATCATTGTGTTACTTTTGATAAACATTTTGATATCAGTACTAAAGTGGTGAGTAAGGTCTCTGTCACACGTCAGTACGTCAGTAAACATGTCAGAACCGTCAGTATATACGTCAAACGTCAGTAAACATGCCAGACACGTCAATACGTCGATGCTACCTTTACAAACTTATAACTCTTTTTATAAAAACTACTACATCAAAAAACGTAATTTCAAGAAATTTGCAAAACAAATCGCCATTCTTTACAGTCATTTCAATTCAATTAGTGCCGCGTACAAATTTAAGAATTGTTACTAATAAGGAGAAAAAGAATATTTTCTCAATGTATAGTGGGGTTTAAAACAACTGCCTGGTTGACAGACTCAATCACAAACTGGGATAAGGTGTTCCAGAAAGTGTAAGCATGCCAAAGATATGAAAACACGTCAAAGAACTATTATTCCTCACAAATCAATCCGTCGGTAAATGAAAAATAAGATAACTATATGAACTCTCTCAAAACAACTGCCTTAATTGTTGGCAGACTCAATCACAAAGTGGCCTCAGGTGTAATCGAAAGTGTAATCGTGCCTTAAAACGTTAAGGTCGAGTTTTAAACACATCTCAGTAGGTAAAAACATCAGTATGTCAGTAATATGTCAAAGAACTGGTTTTTCGTCACACGTCAATACGTCAGTTCACACGACCGCTAAACGCGTCAAAGAATCTCTTGTCCTTACAAACAGTACGTCAGTAAAGAAAAGTTAATCAAACTATGTGTACTCTCTTAATATACTACATATTTGACAGACTCAATCGCAAAGTGGCCTCAGGTGTTCCAGAAAGTGTAAGCATTTCTTAAAACGTTTATGTCGACTTTCAAACACACCTCAGTAGGTAAAAACTCTAGTCCGTCAGTAAACAAGTCAAAGAACTGGTCTTCGTCACACGTCAATACGTCAGTTCACACGTCAGACGCGTCACAGAAATGAAAACACGCCAGACGCGTCAAAGAACTGTTATTCCTCACAAGTCAGTCCGTCAGTAAAGAAAAGTTAATCAAACTATGTGAACTCTCTTAATATACTACATTTTTAACAGACTCAATCGCAAAGTGACCTCAGGTGTTCCAGAAAGTAGAAGTATGTCTTAAAACGTTTATGTCGACTTTTAAATACACCTCAGTAGGTAAAAACTCTAGTCCGTCAGTAAACAAGTCAAAGAACTGGTCTTCGTCACACGTCAATACGTCAGTTTACACGTCAGACGCGTCAAAGAACTGTTATGCTTCACAAGTCAGTCTGTCAGTCAAGAAAAGTTACTTAAACTATGTGAACTCTGTGTGGACAACTGTCTTAATTGTTGACAGACTCAATCGCAAAGTGGCCACAGTTGTTCCAGAAAGTTTAACCATGCTTTTATACATTTAGTGTGAGTTTTAATCACACCTCAGTAGGTAAAAACTCCCTTTCGTCAAAGAACTGGTCTTCGTCACACGTCAATACGTCAGTTAACACGCCAGACGCGTCAAAGAAATGAAAACACGTCAGATGCGTCAAAGAACTGTTATTCCTCGGAAGTCAGTCCGTCAGTAAAGAAAAGTTAATCAACTATGCTCTCTTAAAATACTGCCTTTTTGACAAGCTCAACCGGAAAGTGGCCCCAGGTGTTCCAGAAAGTTTAAGCATGGCTTTATACGTTTAGTTTGAGTTTTTATCACACTTCAGTAGTAGACCTAGCCAACAAAATAAAATTTTAAAATCAAGTTATTTTGTGGCATGATTGACACATTGGCTTTTTTTACCTGTTGATCGTGTGAAAGATGGAATGCTCTATCTAAGAAGTAATGTCCCCGATGAACTGACAGACTCGTTGGACTATGTCGATAATACATATGTGTCTGATGAATTTTGTGCTATACAGCCCCCTGTAATTGTTCCAGGAGGTCCTCTTCCCCCAATAAGAATGAGGAGGCAAAGCTCTTTTTCCTCCCGAGCAATGGAATGTACATCTGGCCACCTTAAATAATGAAGCCGCACTAACAACTTTTGTGAAGGATGGAATTAGTTGGTCACTGTCATCCTGGTGTCTGGATTGTGATCGACAACATTCGGAAAGATGCATGTCTCGTAGCAACTGCTTTCTATCAAGATGCTAGGGTGAACTACCATCCAAACGCACCAAACGCTCTACCCAGCAATTGCAGGTCCGTCTTTATAACTTATGTGAACAGTTCAAAAAGGCTGAAAAAATGTGGAAGATTTCTTGAAAGGTGTAGCAAGAAATATAAGAATGTTGTGATTGTCCGATGAGAAATTATATGTCCTATCCTGTGTCCTTATTGACATATAAATGTGCCCCAACCTTCAAATAGGTTACCTTTTTTATGACTCAATTTTTATGACTTAATTTTGTTTTACAATCTTAAGTTTGTTTGATATATATTAAAAGTTTTAAATAATTTGATTATTTTGTAGGGGCTTTTGTCCTAATTCAGGCAAAATTGTGTTGGGGCTTTTGTCCGTCTACCGTTAATCCATCACACTAATTGATTAACAGACTGTTTAATTAGTTAATATTAATTATTTAGGGGAGGAAACAGTTCACTATTTAGCATTTAGCAGCTATCCAGAGTAGTAATCAAACACAATAATGACACTACTTATTTTCCTGTTATCCTAGGTCTAAGGTTTAAAATTTTAATAACCTTTCAAATTATTTTCTTCTGCTTAGTTTACCTGTATTTTACACCCTATAATTCCTAAACACTACCGATTGGACTAGAAAATTAGTCAAAAGTATGACCAATTACGAATCTTTCATCATGAGTTATTTAATTGCCCTTGTACAAAACCTTATATGTCATTATGCCGACAAACATCAAAGTCCTAATTACTGTGCTTAACTTAAAATATATATTACTTTTATTACTTTATGACATTCAGAATACCCACAATCTTCAAAAAAGTTAATTTTGTTGGCTAGTTCTACTACTGAAGTGTGATGAATACTCAAACTAAACGTATAAAGGCATGCTTAAACTTTCTTGAACACCTGAGGCCAATTTGCGATTGAGTCTGTAAAGGAGGCAGACTACTCAAAAACTATCGACCTATTTATCTTCTCTGCTCTGACTATAAGATTATTACTAAGATACTGGCTAAGCGACTTAAGAGGGTGATTAATTCTATTGTGTATGTCATTCAGACTGGGGCGGGGGAGGACAAGACTATTATCAACAATCTACTATCCATTGACTATCTTCTTCTTTATATCAATCAGAAAAACATTCCTTCTAATCTTTCTACTTTTGACCAAGAAGAAGCATTTGACAGAATCGAGATTAACTACATTATCATTTTATTAGAATATCTAAATTTTCCACAATATTTCATCAGATGGGTAAGCATACTCTACAAGGATATCACTAGTAAGGTTGAGGTTTCAGGTGCCTTCACTGGTGATATCGTCATAGCCAGAGGTGTCCGACAGGGTTGCCCTCTCAGCATGGCACTATTCTCCATTGCAATTCATCCGTTGGCAGTTTATATTCAGAACAATGATGGTATTAAAGGTATTAGGTCGGGTCGAGAAATTAAAATATTTTAACACGCTGATGATTTATCTTCTATTACCACTTCGAAAAAACAATCATTTGGCTTGATATTACAGGAATTTGATAGATTTAGTAAGGTATCAGGGTCCAAATTGAATGTAGAGAAAACCGAAATATTGTGTATGAACAATTCCAGGAACTTTATACCCGTTCAAAATCAAATTTCGATCCGCGACGTCATAAAATTGTTAGGTATTTGGTTTGGTAAGGGTCAGACTGGGAAAAACTGGGATATAATAGCGGCTAAGACTTTAAGTATGACTTTAAGGTGGACAGACAGACAGCTCAGTTTCAGGGAAAAATTAATTGTCATTAATACTTATATCATTAGTCTGTCCGTGTACGTTTCAAGAATTGTCCCACCATCCAAGTCCGCACTGAAACAAATAAACTCTGCGATTTTCA